CTGCTGAACAGAAAGGGTTCATCTCAGTGAGATTAAAGAAAACCTCTGGTTTTAAACTGCAGTCATCACTGAGTTTGAGACCAGAGCCATTGCAGAGTTAAATGTGGCAGAATGAGGTGGCATCAACACGACAATAGAGTCGCTGTTACAGTAAGTGCAGCTTTGGCTCAGTAGCGGAAGACCTGCACTTTAAACTGAAATGCTCCCATGTGGGGGGTCCACACTTGCCTCATGTGTTTGAATTTGACATTAAAGCTACAGTGTGTAATTTCTTTCAAATATTTCAGCTGTAGACATTTGCTCCAGAACATTTCCTAATGTGGAGAGGTGCTGTCAATTTATTCTTGTCTGAGCAGTGAGTTTTGTTGCATTCTCATTTATTGCAATTTATTGCAATTTCATAACAACATATCTGTTAGGAGCCGGGCAGAGCATGGCGGAGCGTAGTGGAGCAGGGAGAGGGAGCGCTGGGTGGAGCAGAGGGCTTGGTTTGGAGGTTCATGCTAGTGCTAGTCTAAATTACACACTATAGTTTTAATGTCACCTGCAACAGGACACACCGAGGACATCACCTCACCTGAACTGGTCACAGTTCACACCTACAGATCTCTCACTCAGACTGGGGCTGGATCAGACCTCATCTTCTCAGCTGCACCTGTAGAAACATGCCCAACCTAATGGGCCTATTTGGCCAAGTATGTAACATTCACAAGGAATTTGTTTCCAGTACAGAACCTGCACCAACCCATTACTGTTCTAACATGAACAGGAACTTTTAACATTATTGTGTCTATGATAAGATCTGACATTTCCCTTCACATGAACACAGAGAGAGCCAGTGACGTGGAGCTCATGTCGAGGCAGGACAAAAAAAAAAAAGCACACATTTCATTCATCACTGCAGAATTCTCTTATTTCACAATCCAAACACAGGTGCACTGAAAGGAAAGTGCTTTCAGAAATTATGTTGTGTATCAAAGTGCAGCAAAGATAAAAAACCTATACCAGACCAGTATTTGCTGTGCCCCACCCATCCACCCCCAATTTACACAGTGTGTCCAGGTACGTGGGTCCGAGCTTGTTCCAGCATGTGATCCCAGACTGACTCCATGATGCTGAGGTCAGGGCTCTGTGGGGACCAGACCACCTGCTGCAGGACTCCTGGTTCCTCTGGGCTCTGGACATGGTTCAGTCTCTGCAGGTCTCAAACAGAAAAGAAATAAAAACACTGCTGATCACAAACAATTAAAAGCCAAAAGCTTTAAGGTTATATGTCACGCATAAGCATGAAGCACAGATGTATGGATAAACAACGCAGTGCAGCCAAAACACAGTGAGCATGACTGGGTTAACAGCGACGTAAAGGTGGACAGCACATATGTGTGAACCCATCAGTCCAGTCAGAGCTGTTTTAGCCATTGTTATGCTTCAGAGACAGCTGAAGTCTGGCTATTTAGGAAAACTTAGATATTTTAGAGTTTTTATGAGTAAGGAAGAATTAGAAAATGATTTCCAGAAAGTGAAAACATCACATGCAGTCATCGTTTGTTGAAACTTGTGTTTCAGATTACAGCTGAAGTCATGATGTTCCTCACAAGAGTGGTTAAATAGCTACAAACGTGTGTGTTGATGATGCCATAGCCACGTGGGAGTTTCTGTCTGATTTCCTGTTGCGTGTGTCAGCCTGCAGAAATATTCCTGGGAAACTCCAGAGTGAAAGAGCCAAATGTGTTTCTCATTCCCTATGTGTTTGTAATGTGGAATATGAACAATTAGCTGTTGTCAGATAAATATGAAGTTAAATGTCTGGGTTTGGCAATAAAAAGTAATGAAGTATGTCCAGTAAAGTGTACAAATACCTCAAACATGTGTAAGTGAGTATTCTTCAGTAATTTTACTTGTTTGGAAGTCAACATTAAAAATGCTTTGTTTTCACATCAAGCTAAAAGTCAATTCGTTGATAAAAATTATCATTTTCTTTCATGTGTTTGCATGTAAACACCCTGAGTTATGAAAATATGTTGTCAAAGACAACTCTCAGATGAAAATCAATTTCTGCATTCAGAGAATGTTCACCTGATGTGAATCCACATTAAAAATTCAGCAAAAGTTTTAAAAACATATAAAATACATTTTGGAATTTCTTTGTAAAACAAATAATTCAGATTTTGCTGATGTGTTATTTTTAAATAGGTATTAAGCAGCTTCAGTCCTGTGGTGTTAACCTGCAACAAACAGCGCCACCTGCACGTTGCTGAGTGAACTACAAGACAACTGTACTGACAACACCCGTCCAGCAGGGGGAACTGCAGGAGAACACAGGAAGGCAAGGAGCCAGGAGGTGCTGAGCGATACTCACACTGGGACTGCAAACAGCACAATAAGAATAATGAGTGTTTCTGGAGCAAACTGTAGGTGACTGTGCTGGTGGCATGTCTGATGTCCTCTGTTACTAAAAGTACTAAAGTAAGGGAAGGAGTAAATCAAAAGTGTGGCTGAAAGTCTCTGTTTGCTGTGACCCCACAGCCACACAGATCACTTCCACCATCTCAACATCTGGACAGAGTCTGCAGCTGCCTCCCCAAGAGCCTGGGCTCCCGGAATGCAGACACTGAGCTGTTCACGTC